AAAGAAAATCAGAGCAAAGCCTTCTGAAACCAACCGTGTGGAGGCCAGAGGAGAGAAGAAGAGACTGGCTGACTGACACAAACTTATAGAATTAGTCTCAGTCAGACCAGCTGATCTGAATCCTCTCTGACGACCCTCCTTTCTTCTTCATGTGAATTCTCCCTCGGCTCATTCTGACAATTGTGTCGTTTGTCCTGCAACCTCCTGCATGTCCCGACACACCTGATTTCACTGATTTACCATCGTTTGCACACACGCAGGTGTTTTCACTCGTTCCGGCTGATTGGAGCTCTGCTCAGGTTAAAGCTGAGTAGATACCTCAATAGGTAACTTTAACCTGGACCCTATTATCTCATGTTTTTTTATCATCCGACAACGTACGTCCACTAAATATTCTTGTTGTTGCCACTGACGGGCTCAGATTGTTAGTGTCCCTGCAGAGACAAATAAAAATAGAAGTGTGGAACTCTCACTCTAAGCTTCTATTTCTGTCCTCCGACACAACAAACTCGCCAACAAGTCACATGACACAGTTCATTCATTTATTCATCCTCTATTTCTTCAGGTAAAACCAATTAAAATAAATCTCTATTACGATGGTCACCTGGACAAGAACGTTGATATGCACGATGAAAAACCCATCAATACCTGGAGTAGAAACGCAAGTCTGTGCATCAGAAACAGGTAAAGAGGCATCAAGACGTGACAACATCATGTTTAAACAGTTTGGGGTCAAAACGTCTGTTCACTTTTGTGTAAAACTGGCCGAGGAGATGAGGGATTAGAGTGAGTCTAGTCTGCAGATCATTCCAAGACTACGAAGGGCGATAATAAAACAGTCTTAGTCCGTACAGGTCCGTACACCTCTCACCATACACACTGGTGCAACTGGTCTAAATATACTATACTCGTTTCTTCACATGCTCTTGAATATAGTCTTATGAAAGATAGTTGACGACTTGAATCAATCCAGGTTTCACATTCCATTTTGGCCAAAAATGTAAAAGACTAGAGCAACATCTGAGAGGTGAACAGTAGACACACTACGCTACAGGAACTGGATTGGGAAATTGTGCGTTTTAAGCAAAACAAATGTCTGCAAACACTTTGTTAAGCAGCGTCCACCTGGGTGAAATAACACCTAAGTAAGGGAGCTGTACCGTGTCTTCACTTTCTCTTTGAGGTTTTACAGTAACGACTAACTCGAGCAGCGGAGTAACGTACCGAAGCGTAGAGAGCAGTAAAGGAGTTCAATTAAAAACCCTTATCTTCATCCACACACGTTTGTCACAGCGTAGGAAAGCACGTTACTATCAACAGATAAGTGACAACTTTCTTTGACTCATATTCTATAACCAGTGTAGCATTACAGCATGGTGGGATTAGCTAGCTAGCAAGCTAACTAGCAGACAGCTGGCTAGTTAGCTTGCGAGTTCCACCATGCTGTAATGTTGAGAAACAGTTCCACTCCGTTCATCGGCTCTTCTATTTCTATGGTCACGACTTAAAAAAACTAACAGCGGTAAAAAGATGTTTTTTGTACGTTTTTTTTTTCAACCTTTGTATCAACTATTCAACTGAACAATCCACACCGACGCCTCTTTCATTCTGCAGTGCCTGTTTCCAGACAGGTATTTAACTCCACAGAGAGGATTCCAGGCTGCAAGTTTTAACAGGAGTTTTACTGCTGCGACTGTGGAATGAGCAGCGAGCTTCACCAGCCCTCAGGTGAAAGTTCAGGAGACCGAGGCCAAAGAAACCAACAGCAAATGATGGCAGATTAACAGGTGAGTCATCTTGTACCTGCAGGGGAACAGCCTGTTGCACTGCTGTTGCCAACATCACGATCTGTGAACATCAGGACAGGTTGCAAATATGCAAAAGACTGATCTGCTCTTTTCAATACTTTAGAATGTAATATTGTCTGTACAGAGTTTTATTGCATTCCATCCATTAGTTGTTGAGGATTTTAACCCAAAGCAGAAATGTCGACCTCACTGTGGCGTCTCGGAGGAAAACTCATTAGCGTTCGTCGTCTGGGAACCTTGTGCCAGTGCATCAAGTAGATGTTGCGTTATTTGCATTTTTGGGGTGGGTTAATTGTAGTTCCATTGGATTTTTCAATGGACATAGTTGTGATATTCAAACATGCCATCGGTCAACAGGAAATAAAAGCCTCTTGTCTATGAAAGCGGTATCTTAAGCCAGTTTGTGGAGCTTCAGAACTCCTCGAATGTTGGAACAAATTTTTAGTTTGCCAGACATTTGCGTAAAACTGCCAGCATTGGAAATCTACAAAGCTGAGTTCTCTGAAGATCCGCAGAAATGAATTTAGTGATGAAATAGAGAACGGAAATTGTAAAAACCTGTTGTGACCATAGCGCTTTGCATTGTGGGACACAGTACCCTTATCTGTTGCACACTAAAGAAAATCACTGCTACATCAAGGTATTATTGACAGGCTGCAGATTTAGCCTTTGTTTGCATATGCATGCTACATGTTTAATGTACTGCTAGTAAACTATGCGGTTTTGAATATAGCTCTTTTTTGTAAATATGCTGTATGTCTTCTGCATCATGTTTTACACAACATACAAACATGAAGGATGTTAAAACACACAAGCTGTACTGTAGATTCACAGTAACACGTTTCTTGGTACTTCATGACGTGCGGATCAAAGAGACTAACACCGTTGCACACATGCAGAGTACATTACGTGTTAACATGGAGGGCGTAGGCCCAGAGAATGAGGCAAATCTCTGAGTCTCCCCGCTGACACATGTTCGCACAAAGTAACATAATGATTACTTTCGCTGCCAGTAAAAACACAGCAGTGGACTCCACCCTCTCTGCCTTTATGCCTTTTATACTGCGACTCATTATTCTGGCTTAATTGTTGGCGTCTCCCCCCCCGTCAAACCGGCATGTTCTTAGCTCTGCCGGCGGGGCTACCTTTCACCTGCCACGTCATGCAAAGACAATCTGGTGCCTCCAACATGCCATAACGGTTGAAAACAGTCGATGCAGCGGAATGAGTAACTCTGCTTCCTACGTTTCCTTTTTTTTGTCAAAAACTGTCAATATTCTCTTTTTAATGTTTGACCCAATCTATTATCTCCTCACAGAGAGAATGTTATCGCAGTCGTGCAAGAAAAATAACAAAACCTGTTGACAATCAAATCTTTGGAAGATGAGCAAATGTGTGACTCATATCTCACACAATTGACAACTAAACTCTTGATGCCAATAAAAGCAATACCAAAGATTCCAACACACATCTGACACTGGCTGTTTCCGTTCACATATTTTTAATATGTATATGTTTGAAGTTGCGCATCAGAAAAGCTATATTGAAACGACAAAATTCGATAGAACTTTCTTATTTGCAAAAAAGATGCTTTTATGCTCGGTTGTCTTCGTCAAAAAAGAGTTGTCGGCTAAATGGGATACGGTTTTGTTGTGACGTAAGTGAGCATTTAAGTCACATGACTGCTTCCCAGATATTTCCATTGCGTGCGAGAGCTGACAATAGCTGGCAAGAAAGACATTTAAACTTTCCCCGTTGAAACAAATTCCTGAAGAACCCTCTCCGTTGGTTGGATGGTTGAGCCATGTTTAGTTCCGGTTTGCAACCTTTTCTTCCCGTGTGTGTACTGGCGCACCGATGCGTCGCGTATAACGCCAACTTCTGACCAAACTACGCCTCACGTAACTGAATGCATTCGCTGGAAACCAGTTGATGGAGAAAAAAAAATGTATTGTGACATTTCAAAAGTTTGATGAAACTTCACTTGACAATATAATGGTCTGAATCATAGACTGTATATAAGAAGTGGACGTAGTCATGGTGATGTCACCCATTCGTTTTTGGACTGATGTTTTGAAGCCTCGAGTTTGGTGATTTTGCCGTCGCCATCTTGGATAACGGTCGTCGCCATGTTGTTGTTTTTTGCAACCAATAAACAGGAAGTGACCATATCTGGACTGAGGAGGAGTGACGTAGAGACGCCTCTGGTAGAGACCTGTCAATCACCGTGTAGCCCCGCCCTAAAGCATCCCCTGCTTTATGGTCTGTGTGACTCTAAATGGACCATAATGTACTAAATGAACATCATGCTGTATTGAAGAAGACTTGAAACTAGAGATTGAGACCATAAACTCATGTTTACAATGTTTACTGAGGTAATAAATCAAGAGAGAAGTAGAGTCATTTTCTCATAGACTTCTATACAACCAGAGGAGTCGCCCCCTGGTGGACACTAGAGAGAATGCAGCTTTAACACAGGAAGCTCTGGCTTCACTCTGCAGACGCGGAGGTTGCCGCCTGGTTTCAATCAAGTTCATTGTTCAACTTACGACCTTTGAATAGAAGTCACGTGCTTGAACTCTCTCCGATGTGTTTATCAGAGCTCTTTGGTTGACGAGAGCGGTGAGAGTGAATCAGAACAGAACATTTGATGGCTGAAGAACCAAAACATGAAGCTGAAAGATGCTAAAACGCTCCGTAAAGCTGAGGGGAACTGTGACCCATTTCACATTAATTGAGAGTTGCAAGCTCAAAGACCAAAGAAACAATAAAAACCTATTATTTTATGAATCCTTTTATTATTTCATTGCAGCATCTTGCACAAACTGAAAACAAATGCATTGTTGTTCTTATCAATTTGTACATAAACTGATAAATTCTCTTACACACGAGTATCAAAAAACAATTAAACAAGCATTCACATACAACCGATCTAAAATCCCATTAGTTAAAAAAAAAGAAATATTAATATTATAATAGGAAATAAAACCAAATAAATATTTACAAAGTGTTCTGTTTAAGCTAAAGCTACAGTTATGTACACAGTGGGGGGTCAGCTCCCTGAGAGAGACGGGAGAACTTTGAAAGCAATCATAGTGTCGAAATAACAGAATGTTTGGACATGTTTCTAGACACACACACACACACACACACACACACACACACACACACACACA